CCGAAGCACCAACAGAAGCAACCACACCGTATTGCGTTTCCTGATTCCCCAATGTTGTCTTTGCCCCCACCAACATTGCAACATGTAACGTATATGTACATGTACATGGTGGGCGGGTAGGGGTTAGCTGTGTGTTCTCGTTCGCTTGTACCCGAGGGACTTGTACAACCAGTTCACAATATCAACACCACCCAGCAGCCACTGAAAGAAAGAGGAAAGAAAAATGTATGAGATGTGGTCTAGATCCTACTGCCGTGATCAGCAAACAGCGCCACAAAATCGCAACAAGGTCAATCAATCCAGCCAGCTGGGACTTGCTCGGTTCGAGATAAGACCATCATGCATCGGTCTAACCCGGTAGATGGGTTCCAGACCGCAGACAAGCTCTTTCTGGATCAAACAGCCCTACAAACATGAAGTTCCTGACGTCCAGATTGACGGTACGACCTGGTGGTGTGGAAGGATGGCACACATTTGTGGCAGCCACATCCAGAGGCTCGGGATGATCCCCATAGCCGGGCAAGAGTCCGGAGATGTGGCAATGAATTGGGCGCGGGATGCAGCAAACATGCAGAGATGAAGGACTTTGGTGCCGAATATTGATTTTTTGATCCCTCACGTTCCGAGTCCGGAGAGGGAGAAGAGCCCCTGTTTTCCGAGAGGTGAAGCTGTCACCGTTTCATCACCAGAATCATACCCAAGAACTGTCTTGGAAAAATCAGGAATCGGTATTGCGGCACGACTTTCTGATTCGACTTGACCGTGGCATTGGGATTATGGACCGAGGGAGTTGTGAGCGGCCCGTCCTGAGGCGTGATTGGTGGGGTTGTTGATGTGATTTCTGGCGGTTTGGTGCAAACTTCACTAGCGGCCCAAAATGGTCTAATACACCCCAATTCGAGACATGATTGGTCGGTTCGCCGTTTCATTCTAGGAGAGGTATATGGCGACATTTGACAAGTTGGCCGCTGCACCATTTTTATCTCCGTGACCGACGCCAAACATCAGCCGCATGGGAAAGAAGGGGTCTTGGATACAAGGCGTTGACCAATCAGACTCTGGCCATTTCAACAAGCAATGCCAATTCACGGCACCGTTTCGGGCGCCGAAACGTGGGGGGAATATAACCAGTTTGCTCGGGGAGATGACACCTTCGTGAGGCACCGTTAAGTCCGGCAATGGTGGCATAGGTGGAATATCTGATGTCTCCGGCCCATCGCTTTATCTGCATGGCGGCATGAACACACGCAATCTCGTCATTCATCTTCGACGACATTGATTCGATGGATTGCAACGAGGTTGTGGATGGCTCTCTATCAGATGCCGTCTCAATGTAACATTGAGACAACTGATCGCGGGGTCTTCACACCCTCACGCAATATGACGCGGGGTTGATGATGTAAACCGTCGTGTCGGGAGTTAAGACGGGTGGATACAAATAAAGATTGAAATCTGTATAAAGGTTGAGCATGAAGAACATCACAACCACTTTGCAGATCATCATCATCATCACCATCATCACCACAATCATTCATTCATCCTACCACCTTCCTCTCATATCAATAATAGAAAATGGCTCCATCAGCTGTTGAGACTCAGACCGCCGAGGTCATTGTCCCTATCGTCACCAAGGGTACTGCCGCAGCAAGCACTACCACCGCCGCCCATCCTCAACCACTCAAGCTCTCTGGCGCTCTTGATGCCTATGAGTCCTTCGAGGTCACTCCTGTCATCGGCAAGGAGTTCCCCAAGGCCAATCTTGTCGAGTGGCTCAACGCTCCCAACTCGGATGAGCTCCTCCGGGACTTGGCCATCACCATCTCTCAGCGCGGCGTCGTCTTCTTCCGTGCCCAAGATGATCTCACCAACGACCTACAGAAGAAGTTGATTCTTCGCTTGGGCGAGTTGACCGGCAGACCCTCCACTTCAGGCCTTCACATCCATCCACTGTTGAACAATGAGAGAGAGCTCGGCGGAGAAGACCCTGAGATTAGCACCATCTCTTCAATCCAGAACAAGCAGTTCTACAAGCGGCAGAACCTCCCGGAGGAGCTGAGCACCAAGAAGCAGAGCAGTGCTCAATGGCACAGCGATATTGCCTTTGAGCCCGTCCCAGCGGATTACACCTCCCTCAGACTGGTTGAGCTCCCAACTACCGGCGGCGACACCTTGTGGGCTTCGGGCTATGAAATCTACGACAGAATCAGCGAGCCTTACCAGAAGTTCTTGGAGTCTCTCACCGTCACCTTTGAACAACCCGGGTTCAAGAGGGTTGCCGAGGCCGCGGGCTTCAAGCTCTACGACAAGCCCCGTGGTGCGCCGGAGAACATTGGTGATGAACTCAAGGCCGTTCATCCTGTCGTCCGGACTAACCCGGTTACCGGCTGGAAGTCGATTTTCCCTGTTGGTGGGCACGTCAAACACATCAACGGCGTGACTGATGAGGAGAGCAAGCACCTGTTGACTTGGTTCTTGGATTTGGTTTACAAGAATCACGACTTGACTGTGCGGCTCAAGTGGCAGAACAAGAACGACATTGCCATTTGGGATAACAGGTCTGTTTTCCACACGGCGACGTTTGATTACCTTGATGGAAGCTATGGCGAGAGATTTGGTAACAGAGCTGTTGGATTGGGTGAGAGGCCTTATTTGGATCCTAATAGCACTGGCCGCAGAGAGGCACTTGAGAAGCGGGGGGCTTAAATTGGGGACATAATAAATTTGTATGACAATGTTATGAGGTTTATTTTGAATAGTGATTTATTTGAATTTTGAAATAACGTTATCCATGATTTATGAATATATCTCTATGAAATTGTGTGTATTATGAGTTGGAAACCACGGATGAGGTTAAAGTACTTTTGAGAGAGCAGGCAACTGAGCAATACGCCGGATTCTTGGAATATGTTTGGGGATTGTGCGGGGGAAGAGGAGAAGGACTTGGCGTTGAAGCAGTCATTCCCGGGATATCTTGTTATCAGTGAAGATGTATACAATGTTTCTTGGATCGGCGGTCCAAGGGATGCAGGTCGGAGGGTGGCCGAGGACGGGTAGTGATTGCTGCAGTTCAGGCTGTTAATTGGCAAGGGATTCGGAAGGGACATTTGCTTTTTTGTTAATAGTTGCAATATCGGAAGTTACACACCTACGCTCAAGTGTGTATGTCGGAAGTTTGGATTATGTGATCAGCGTACATTACCGAGACGGTACTTACTAAGATATCCTTTCTTGATCCAATCTATCCTCGGACTTTTTATGCATAGAAATATATATATAATTCTGGTCATCCTCCCTCCGTTTTCATTCAGCAGATGGGCAAGATACCTTTTCTTCACACGGAAACACACAACATGGCTTCAACTACTATACTCTTTCTTTTCTTTTGTTTCTTCTTCCTCTCCCTCACAACGTCAACAACAGCCACTCCTCCCCACCCCTCACCCCATAACAGCAACAACAACAAACAAAAACCAATTACTCTCCTTTCCTCAGGCGGTTTCCAAATCGGAGGTCAAAAAACCATCAACCCCCTAAACTCATCCGAAACCCTAACATGCGACCACGCCTATGTCGAATACTTCTTTCCCGCCCGACCCCGCAAGCTCAGTTTTTTACTCTGGCATTCCTCCTCCACTCAACTATGGCAAAACCGCTGGGACGGGGGCCCCGGGTATAAAGACCTATTACTCCGTCGTGGATACCCTGTTTACTTATGGGACGGACCAAGAGTAGGTAGAGCCAATTGGGGTTGTGAGTCTTATCTCTACGAACCGCATTTCGGAATAGATGAATTAAACTTTGTGAATTGGAATTTTGGGGAAAAGTTCAAAATTTGGTATGACGATGGAGTTCAGTTTCCTGTTGATGATGAAGAGGCTTGGATACAGGCTACGTCAGCGAGGTATGCAGAGTTTGATGTGTTTGAGAATGTGAAGCTACAAAGTGAGGTTATGGCGAAGGCTGTTGATCAAGGAAAATTGGGGGAGGAGATTGTATGGGTGACAAGTAGTGCTGGGGGGTTTAGAGCACAATTGGCTGGGACTTTGGTGTCGAAGGATAAAATAAAAAGAGTAAAGGGATTAATAGCTTATGAGAGTTTCGGATATGTTTTTCCTGATTTAAAAGAAGTGAGGGAGGAGATTGGGGAAATTGATGAAGTTGAGGGGTTTGGACCGAGTTTTGTGCTTGTGGAGAGATTTAAAAAGTTTACGGAGGGGTTGAAGTTTATTCAGTTTGTTTGGGGGGATCATAGAAGTGAGGATCATGAGATGGTTCAGATGAGTAAAAAGTGCGCAGAGTGGATTAATAGGTTTGGTGGAAAGGCAGAGGTGGTTATGTTGAGGGAGGATGCTGGGTTAAAGGGGAATACGCATTTGCCTTTTGCGGATTTGAATAATGAGGAAGTTTTGGGGTTGGTGGAGGGGGTTTTGAGAAGGGAAGGGTTGGATGGATTTGTTTGAAGGGGGGATGTGTATGTGTAAGAGGATTTGGACTTCCGATGAAAGTCTACAAATGCAGAGGCAGAAGTTTGTAAGAAATATATCGTTTTTGGAATGGATAGCCACAGCAGAAACTATACAATATCGCCCGTTAAATGTATGTTAGCATACATTACATGATTACAACCAGGTCTTGTTCAAATTGAAAGCACGTTTTCCAATAAAGATATGCCTGACTTGAAAATAAGACGCATTTTCAGAAACAAAATGGACTTTAAACAAATAGCTCTTTTTTATATTTTAAAAAGGCCTTTCCAAAACCAAATAGACGTTTTAATTCCAAACAAGCATATCCAAGATTAAGTGCTGTGCTAATAAACATTCAAGGGGTGTACATGTACTCTTTTTTTATATATATATAAAAAAAGGGGGGGGGGGAAACATATTTTTCCTTCAGCTTAATACTACATACAATAGAAGAGAAAATAGAACAAGTTTGACTTCCATATAAAAAAGAAACTGACAAAAAAAGAAAAACAGAAAAGGACACCATCTATGCATCGACCATCCTGGGACTCGAACCCAGAGCCTTTACCATCAGAGTATATGAAACCGGAAAGTAACGCGCTACCATTGCGCCAAACGGCCTGATCGGTCGAGTTTCCGTTGCTTGCTAAATAAAAGATTCTGATTCTCAGATTATATCGAATGGCTGCAAAGTTCAATAACTGCTTTTTTGTGATGCTTGTCATGGACGCCGATACTGCCAATCGATTAAACTTTTAACTGTCCTCAAGTAACAGAGAAACTTGGAGTAATGCTTGAGATGCTGGTGCCTGAATAATAGAAGAGAGAAATACCTTGTTGGTGATATAAATACTAGCTGAGAGGGAAAAAAAAAAAAAAAAAAAAAAAAAAGAGAAAAAGAAAAGGCTGTAAGTACCGCGGTATACAACGCAGGTATATATGGTATGCTCTCCATCCTCAAAGAAATTAAAGCAAGTTTCATCAGAAGGAATTAAAATTGACTTATGAGTAATGAAGATATAGTAATCTTAATTACAATAAAACTGCTGTGAATTGGTTGTTTTGGCTTTGTGATCAAGTAATAATGTACCTGATAATCAAGACAGTTGGGTGAATTTTTCTTAACACATCCAATTTGGATCATGTCACATTGAGGTAGATTAGCCAACAAAAACATTTTCCCTTGTCTTCTTATTCTTCAGTTTTGACAACTACCTGTTGCCATTTACAACAAAATGCCTCCCGTCCCTAAAATCCAAAAACTTGGAGCGTATCAAAAACCATAACATTGACTTATTCCAGTCTGACCTCCACTACCCCGAATCTATATCATACAAACACGACCACTACCCCCAAACCCATATCCTCACCTCCACTGCCTACTCCTTCCTAGCACTAACACTCCCCTCCTCCTTCATCCCCCCACATCCCGTAACCCGTCCCGCAATCTCCTCAACCTTTCCAAACCCATCCCTCTTCGGATCCCTCTGCTCCGCAACCTGCTGCAAACTAGCCTTTGCATGTGCTTTATTCTGTTCTCCGCTCGCAGTCCAAGCGTGGGAACCACTGACACTTCCTATCGTGCTCTATATATACTCAATCAGCATTTGTTTTCCCTCTCTATCCCAATTAAAAGAGAAACATACCTCAGCAGCACCCTTCAAATACTCTGCATGAGCACCAATAAGCCCCGGCTGTTGCTCTTGGGTGTTGTTGTTATTGTTCGAAGAAGACATCTCGCTGCTTGGTTTTTTAATAACGGGTTCTTGTTGATGGTTTAGATCAATAACCGCTGAAAGTCTAGGAGCCTTATGATTCAGCTTCAAAAAGGAAAGAGAAATAACAAGAAAGAGAAAAAACACTGAACGTCTTTTCATCTGTCAAGTTGCCCCTAGTCGAGCGATGACGTTCGAGTTCAGGTTTTGACTGACGTCATCGGTACATGTGAACGACACCGCGGCACTAAGGGATTCCGTACCTGCTTGACCGTCAAACTGATCTTGCCGATATTGATGCATTAAGGCTGCAAGCCATGGGAAGGGGAAAATAAAGAAAACATTGACAGACGGCTTCTAGAATCATACTGTCAACGGATAAATGGAATTTCTAGAGGAATTTCTCTCCAAAGGCAGCACAACTCAACAATTATTCACGAGGTAGCTCGAATACGTATAAAACACAAGTGACATCTAATGATCTATATTGCTCTCTATTTGTGGAACAACTACTTGCATCTTCGTTTTGGTATCTTCCCTCCCATCTGGCATCAAAAGCAGAATACAGACCCAACATCCAAGGGTCTCCAGTCCTTGGAAAGTCATATATTCCGCAAGAGTACCAGTAATAGACACTTTCGCGGCGCAAAAGAGAAATTATGACCATCTTGACGAAGCAACGCAAAAAAGAAAACAAAACACCCAATAAGGCCCGACCATGCAAACCGACCCATAAAGAAAAAGCAACTTTTAGAGACCCATTCGTAACGCTAAAGGCATGAAGAGATTTTAAGCGCGAGTTGTTCAATCGTCCTCGTCGCTGAAGACCTGTAGAGATTGTTAGTAACGGATCATCAGTGATAGTATGGGGAATTTGACGTACCTCCTCACCACGCTTGCGGCGAGCCATGCGCTCCTTCTTCTTCTTGCGAGCCTCAGAGGAAGTGAGCTTGGCCTTCTTCTTGGTGCTAACAATCTTGTTGCCCATGGCATCGAACTTCTCCTCCTCCTCATCGTCGTCAGCCTTGAGGCGGGGACCGGCGCCCTGGCCCTGGACCCAGTTGTGGCCAGAAGGAGTCATCTTGCCGTCCATGACAGCCCACACTTCCTCAGTGAGATCCTTGGTGAACTCAGCAGAGTGGGTAATGATGATGACACCACCTTCGAACTTCTTGAGGGCCTTGGACAAGGCACCGAGAGAGTCACGATCAAGGTAGTTAGTAGGCTCATCGAGAACGATGAGATGGGGGCGTTGCCAAGAGCAGGCAGCAAGGACGACCTTGACACGCTGACCACCGGAGAGACCGCGCATGCGGGAGTGGGAAACGAGTTCGGCATCGAGACCGAAGTTGGCGCAGTGGGACTCAATCTCCTTGCGGACAAGGGGACGGAACTGACCGGAAGCAAGAGCCTCCTTCATATCGACGTCGGCAACCATCTTCTGATGCGAGGCCAAAAGCTCGGAGCGGGGCAACCAAGCGTTGTCAGCGGTCATCATGGGGACCCAGCGCTCGTTCTTCATGCCAATATTCTCACCGAGAGCGAAAGAGCATTCGTACTCGTAAGAGTTCTTGAACTTTCTGCGGGAGTTGATGCCGATGACGCGACGCAAAGTGCCCTCAACCTTGAAGACCTTGTTCATGGCCTGCTCATCAGCCTCGGTGATGATCTTGTTGGCACGATCCATGGTCTCGCGATCCTCACCAGTCTGGAAACGCCACTGGATATACTCTGAGGGAGTGCTGTCGAGGTGGTTATCGATGTGAGCGAAAGCGTGTTGCTTGATGTAGGCGATACGGATGTTCTCGTGCTGGTAGATCTCACCCTGGGTGGGGATGAGCTCACCGGTGAGGACGTTGATGAGGGTGGACTTGCCGGCACCGTTGGGACCAATGACGGCAATACGAGAACCGAGCGAGCACTGGAAGGTGATGTCGGAGATCTGGGGCTTGGCAGTGCCGGGGTACTGGAAGGACATCTTGGTGGCACGGAGGATGGCCTTAGCCTTGGTCTTGACACCCTCAAGGAAACCAGGCTCAGGGAAGCTGAACTCCATCTCGGATTCTCCGAGCTCGTAGTAAGACTTGGCAGAGGGGTTGCGCTTGACGAACTCGGCGAGGTTACCCTTGTAGCGCTTGAGCTTGAAGCGCTCGTAGTGGATGATGTGCTGGCACACATTGTCGAGGAAACCACTGTCGTGGGAGACGATGATGGAGGTGCAAGGGGAGTTGATGAGGTAATCCTCGAGCCACTTGACGTTCTTCACATCCAAATGGTTAGTGGGCTCGTCGAGAAGAAGGATATCGGGAGCCTCGAAGACGGCACGGCACAGGGCCAACTTCATCTTCCAACCACCGGAAAGGGCAGAGATGTCGTTCTTGATCATGTCGGCGCTGAAGCCGAACTCGGTGAGGCGGGCCTCGACCTCGGCCTGAGAGACCTCGACCTTGGCCTCAGCAAGCTTCTTCATGGTCCACTCAATGGTGGTCATCTCAGTATCAGCAGAGTCAAGGTCGTGCTCGACGAAGACAGTCTTGACTTCACTCTGCTTGGGGAAGCCTTCAACCTGCTCGTTGTTGATGGCGCGCATGAGGGTGGACTTGCCGGAACCGTTGGGGCCGCAAAGACCGTAGCGCTGGCCACGCTTGAGGCGGAGAGAAGTCTGGTTCAGAAGAATTTTGGCACCGTAGGCGAGGGAGAAAGTGCAGTTGCACAGATCCTCACCCTCCTCCTCGTCATCCTCGACAGCCTCAGCATCAGCAATGCCGGGGCTGGAAGCCTTGCGGAGAGCGTCGGTGAGAGCCTCAGACTCGTCGTCACCAACGATGACGGTAAGGTAGGGCTTGACCTGCTCAGCCCAGGAGATCATCTCGGTCTCCTTCTCGTCAACGAGCTGGCCAGCGACAGCGCCAATGTACTCGACGATGGGGGTGAACTTCTCAAAGGCAGCAGCGTGCTTGCTGCCGAGGACCTTCTTGAGGTGGCCGACGATGGTAGAAATATCACCGAAGTTCTGGACCTCGGGGATCTTGCCATCGACAACGTTGCCAACGCGGTTGAGGGTGTCGAGAGCCTGCTTGGTCTTCTCACGAGCCTCGGGGTCGGCCAAGTTCTCGTAGTTCTTCTGGAGGGCGGGCATCATCTTGGGCAAGAAAGGAGCAACGATGTTGGGGTCGTCGACGAGCTTGCACATGTTGTCAACGATGACGGCGGCTTTACGCTTGATGGCAGTCTCGCGCTCAGCAAGACCACGATCGAGAAGAGGAACCATGAGGGCAAGAGTGGGCTGCTGGACTTCAGTGACGAAAGTGGTGGCACCGAGCAAGTGAACGGTCTCGGGGACGTTCTCGGGCTTGGCGATACACTTGATGAGCTCGGGAATGAAGCGCTCAATATCACGGTTCACAATGAGAGCGCAGAGCTTCTCCATGGTGGTGTAGGCGCGGTCCTTGACCTCCTTCTTGGTGTCCCACATAGCCTCGGAAATGACGGGGAGGAACTCAGGGACGAGGAAACCAGTCTGAGCAGGGGCGGTGCGGATGAGAACCTCGATGAAATCGAGAACGGTCATCTTCTCGGGCCACTTCTGTGCGTTGCGAAGGGAGTCGACCAAAGGGGGAAGGACAGCCTTGACGGCGTTGGGGTTGATCCCCTCGGCGATGGCGAGAGCCGCAGCGATGGCGGCATTCTTGACAGCAGTGATCTTGTCACCAGCGGCAGCCAGGACGTTGGGGAGAAGAGCAACGAGGTAGGGCTCAACATGGGCGGAAACCTCGGAGTGCTGGGCGATGGCCTGGATGGCAGTCAGGGACTTCTCGCGAGCAGCAGCATCCTTCTTGTTGTTGAGCTGCTTCTTAAGGGATTCGACAGTCCTAAAAAATAAGGTTCACATGTCAGTCTCCAATT